CCGTAGCAGTCATCCTGTGATACTTACTCCAAGCTAGTCGGATACCGTGCAAATGCCCTCACGTGTGTTTTGTGCTAAGTTAAATATCACATTTCATGTTTTGGATTATCAGTTGAGCGTTTTCATCGTCTTCGCGAGATCCAACACGAGTTCGTCCAAACTATATGTGAAAATTGCCGAAATAAGGTACAGCCAGGAAGAGTAAACCCGACGTGTAGGCCTCAGCATTTCGTTGCGAATAGCTCCCTTGTGTTTGGCCCAACAATCTAACCCGAAGAGTTTTCAGGTTTCAGCTCAGCCGTCCTCCTCTACCAGTGCAAACTCACCGACACGATGTCCAAACGTTGTGAGAAGCCCAGTTGCACCTGGCATAAATCGTTTACCTTCGTTGTGTCCACCGGACACTGTTGTCCCAGCAAGTGAAAGCCTGAGTGCTGAAGACCAGTGGAAAGAATAAAGAACCAAATTACGAAGGGACGTTGGGCGTTTAAGTTCTGTAAGTCAACAGTTAGCCAAACCACGTGAGGCTGGTAGTATACTTCGCCCTGCAAGGTCAACCTCATCCGACCAGAGGCGTTATAATCTCGTGATCTTTCACGCACCGGAGTTCAGTGATCCATCATCCCAAGTGCACTACGATCACGATGTCGAGTTTTTACAGGGTCTAATTGACAGACTCCTCGACGCTGGTGAGGACTTGGTAAAAGTGAGGCAGATTACCCGTCTTGGAAAGCAAGGTGATCAACGAAATCGGCCTATGAGAATCACTTTTGTGGACGAAGCCAGTCCAAGACTGATTATATCCCGCCTAAGTAGACTGAAAGGTTTGAAGATCCATGTTCGTCCAGACCTGGACCCAGTACACAGGGAGCGGCTCAAGTCTGCCATCATTGAGCTGAAAAGACGCACTAGTGAGGGGGAAACAAATCATGGTATCGTAAATTTTCGGGTGGTTTCCAACAATCTGCGAATCAGGATAAACAAGCTGCTCACACTTCAAGCACGCCCGGTGGCTCCTGCTGCGGCCTGCGAGTAGCCTTCACAAACGTTTGCAGTGTTATGAATAAGTGCGATGAGCTTCGTTGTTTCGTTGCGTCTGAGCGGCCAGACGTAGTGGGACTCGCAGAGACATGGCTGCATGCAGAGTTATAAACCCAAGAACTTGAACTCAACGGTTACTCGTGCTTCCGATGCGATAAACTAAAGAATGCCCACGGTGGTGTCTTACTTTGCATCCGGTCTTCCCTGCGTGGGAGACTTGTGAGCACCTACCGAAGTGACGATGGTTTGTGTGAGCTACTGTGGTGCTTCATCCGCCTCAGGTGCGGAGAAATGCTTGTGGGCGCAGTCTATCACAGCCCCCTGAGTCGTTGTTCGGATTGGCTGCCCATTCTTCGAACCCATATGAGTCGTCCACACTTTTTACTTATGGGCGATTTTAACTATCCTCAAATACGATGGCCTGATGTGCATTTGATGCCTGGACATAGTGATGTTGAAGCAAAGTTCGGTACTTGAAACTGGTGCATCGCAGCACATATGCCAGCCAACACGCACAACCACACGTTCAACCTCGTGCTGTCTCGATCTGATGTTAACGAGCTACGAACAACGAGTGCATGACGTCAGGATCCTGGAGCCCCTTGCTACAAGCGACCCTTCAGTGCTCATAGCTGATATGGCATTATCTTCACCGTATTCACGTCCGCTGGAACCAGCTCCCAACTACTGGAAAACGGACTTCGATGGACTAGCTCGGACCGCGAGCCAACTGGATTGGTCTCTGTCACATGCTGCATCTGGGGAAGACTGTTGGACATTTATAAAAGAGAGATCGACATCATTGTGTTCCCAATTTGTGCCATTGTAATGTCGGAAGGTTGGACCGATTAAGCCTCATTGGTTTGAAAAGGAGTATGGAAACCTGGCTCGGAGATGGCGCAGACTGTGGGACAAACTCCTCCTCTCTGGCTCTGCCAATGATTACGAAGGGTGTAAATGTCAGCGGAACCTCTACAACAGTGCAAAAAAGAATAACCGCCGACATTTCGATGAGCAACTCGCAGTAGCCGCGAAGACCGCCCCAAAGAGAATCTTTGCACATGTGAAGCGACGCCTGAAGCCGGCAGTTGATCTGCCAGTGCTGGATGGCCCGGATGTACAGCCCCAAACCTCCAGCACTGAGCGTGCGTCCGCATTGGCGGCGCACTTCGCTTCTGTATTTGCGAATAACCAGGTGGCTGTTCCGAGTTCGACGTGTACCACTTTTACCGAACTTGATAGTCTGCATTGCGGCGTTGAAGAGGTAGGTCAACTAATCGCCAACCTTGACGGCACCAAGTCTGCCGGACTTGATGGGCTTCACCCACTGGTTCTGAAGTCACTTTCGACCATGCTCTCTCCTGTGGCGACTGACCTTTTCAACAGGTCGCTGTCCGAAGGTTCGTTGCCGGTTGACTGGAAATGTTCGGTGGTGAAGCCTATTCCGAAAGGCGGCGAGCCTAGCAAAGTAGACAACTACAGGCCAATTTGTCTGGCACCTATTTTGGCAAAGGTTGCTAAGAAAATCGTGAAAAAGGGGTTGCCACAGTCAAACGAGGTCCTGACGCCCGCACAGCACGGTTTTATGCAAGGTCGCTCATGCATTACTAACCTGCTTGTGACGAGGCATGAGTGGTTGAAGGCAATAAGCAAGGGGAAATCCGTCGACATGATATTCATCGGTTTCAGTAAAGCGTTCGACATGGTCAGCTATGAGGTTCTCCTTCACAAACTCAGAATGTGTGGTGTCGGTGGCTCACTGTACCGGTGGATCCGCGACTTTCTTGTTGGACGAAAGTGGTGGGTACAGGTGGACGACCATCTAACTGACTGGTACCCCACTACAAGTGGCGTGCCTCAAGACACTGTGCTGGGCATACTCTGTTCCTGACCCACATCAACGATCTACCGGAGTTTCTTCGGCCGCCGTGTGCCTTGTTTGCGGATGACATGAAGATTTGGAGAGAAATTGACGCTCCCGATGATTGTGGCATATTTCAGCAAGACCTCAACCGCCTATCCACATGGTTTGCAGAAGTTCTTCTCCCGGTCAACCAAGCCAAGTCTGTATTTATGAGTCTGGAGAAGAGTGCTGACGGCCGAAGCTACACTCTTGACGGCCAACCGCTATATCCCACACCCTCCGTGAAGAACCTAGATGTAATCTCACGCTACGATTTGAAGTTCATGGATAACACGAACAGGCTATATCGTAACGGAATGCGCATGCTTTGGGCGCTCAAACGTAGCTTCGGCACATGGTCTGAAGAGGTTGCCACTCGCCTCTTCTCTTCCATCATTAGACCAATACTAGAGTACGGTTCGCCCGCCTACTTTCCGATTACCCGAGGCGAGGCACAAAAGATCGAACGGGCCCAACACGTTGCTACCAGGCTGGTCCTGAGTTTACGTGGCTTGGGGTATGAAGACCGGTGCGATAAACTAGGACTCTACACCTTGTCCTACCGTCGGATGCGAGTCGACCTCATTATGACCTAGTGTGAGCTACATCTCGGTGACTTCCCAATGCTAAGGCCAATGCTGCACTTACGAGGGCCATGCAGCACACGCAAACACAGATACAAACTTGTCGCGTCGGATGTGAAATGTGTTCCCCACCTACTGTGCTTCGAACTTAGAGTGGTAAACATTTGGAGCAGTTTACCTGAACATGTGATGGCGACAACATCTGTGCAGCAGCTCAAAACGTTGTTAGATTTATATTTTGCCACTATTCGATTCAGAGAACGATTGCACACTTACGATGACATATCACTTTTGTGAGTCCTGAAATCGCGTGAGTCAGATATTTTAAATGTTTCATGAGAACAACGATATTCACGGTTGACAACGTTTTCCACCATATTTCGAAAGAGTTGTACAGAATTCATTTCTACTTGCTCTATAATACATCATTCAGTATTCAGATGAAATAACATCGAAAAGCGTCAAGGGATGCAACGGTTTCAGACGGGCAACACCCAATATCTATCTGCCAGACTAACATGCTTTCGACAATCACTTGCTTTATCATAGTGATACATTTCATGTTATCACTGGTGAAGGCATTGTGGGTTTGATATACCATAAATTATTCCTACAGAATAGAAGCGATTCGACCTCACATTCACATTAGCCGTAATCAACAAGCTATTTTTGTCCGTCTGTACCAACAGAGTATATAGGTTGCTTGGGCACTAACTCTTTAATCGCGGAAACAAGGAACGAACGAACAGAATTCGATACTGGTGTTTGATAAATAGTAAACGGGTTTATTTCTCCAGCTATAACAAGCATGGGTGCTGACCGTGGTGGGAATGCAGTGTGATTGGCGATCGCTTGCGACATATGTGCTGAAAGCCTACATGTGGCGAGAAGCGTAGACCGGTGAACCACATGAGTCTAAAGGATTAAATGCACGCTTGCAGATTTTGATGAATGACCAGGGAACAATGGAGGTAAGAGCTGTTGCTATAGGGGCTAACCAATGGCGCAGAATACCGTGCGTCAGCTAGAACACAAGTCGACATAATCATTACCTCATCTATCCCACCGAACTTCATACTAAACTGCGTGTCGCTAGTTAGAGACGTTCACGTGCTGCTCAGCTGAAGTCTCTATGGTTCGTTTAGCAAAGGTAGCAATCCAACCAGTTCTTGGACGTCTGTTTCGTCGGCAGCCAACCTATTGTTATCCAAAGTTAGCCTGTCCGAACCTGCCTGGATGCAAGCGAAATCACAGTGTCCCTGGTCCGCTGGTAGCTGCTGGTGGTTGCATCGCAAGAAAACGTTATACCGCTGGTACGGGTTTTACTTTGAGCCCTTAGTCTACTTTTCATTCCACCCATTTTATGAAATCCAATTTGTTCCGCCAAGGCCAATGAACTTTTTTATGACATTAGCGCATAATCGGGTTACGTTACCTCAACGGTCTTAAAATGTGCTTTTCGTTTGCTTTAGGTGATGCGGATCTCTACATTGAAACGCCAACGTTCCAGGGTACGTGAACGCTCCGGCCCCATTTGTGTGCGTCCTGAAAGTTTTGTTTGCTATACCGAACGGGTTGTTTCCGCCTATTTTAGAGCGGCTGCAGTAGATGGAGGACCCTTTAGCAGCCATCAGTGCTTAGGGATTGCGCTGTGTATGGCCTCCCATGACCTTCCAACATCCTGTTTCATTGTGTTTCTCTACTGTCGTTCAAGTGATCTGTTTGTTTTTTGCACCACATACCTAATGCGAAAAGAAATAAATCGGTCCGTTCTACACGATAGTAGGAGTCTTTTTGATCTAACCGTTCGGCATGAACTACTTAGGCGTTTCTGTTCATAGCCCAAGTCTCCTTCCTCCCGGAGAGATTGCAACTGAGACCCAACTCGCAATCAAAATATTCAATTGAATAACAGCACTGGTCAAACGGTATAACATATTTTTGGAATTAAAAAAGGACAGCACCGAATAAGAAGAAAAATAAAGTTTTCGAAGCATTGAGGAAACAACGGAACAATAAATTAGCGTCGAAGAAGTGAAAAAGAATTCACAAAATGGTAACTTCGTAGATGGCCAGGGTACAGTGTATACTTTTACGGCACCTCGAGGTCGTTTGACAATTCATTGGGTTAACTATAAAGTTGTCAAGTTCATGAGACAGAAAGATGCTGCCGAGCGTGTTCTTCAAGAATCTGAAATGAAACGCGATTTAACTCAGAAACTAAAATGGTCATGCCTGGACGCTGAGTTTTTAAACTAACAGAGGGTTGGGTTTTATGCGTTCTGCTCAATCAAAAAAAAACGCAGCTGAATGTGTGGCATGTTTAGTGTCGCGTACCAAGGAACCTTTACATTGAGCAACTCAGTTTGCACTAAAAACCATCAGAAAGTAAAGTTATCAATGTAAATAAGCCATGGAACCGGGACCGCAAGCTTGATGGAGTTTGAATAATTGTGCGCGTCGTCAATGGTATCGTTAGTGGACCACGTCGACTCGCGATAGACCGAAAACCTAGAGCTCGCAATGCCCAAGTACGGTCATGTATACACCATTAAAGACAAATACATACAAGGAAATTCCATAGCTCGTCAGCTTACGAGAGAATGGACCAGTCCGCATGTTTGGTGGCCAACTGAATTGTATACCGTATATTACTGTGTATAAGCCCATCCGCGCCCCACGCTGAGGGTACTGTTGCATTCATAATGCTTCTTCACCGCAGTTGGGCTAAACCAACTTACACTTAAACTAGGTCTTTTTAAGCTGGATCCATTTCATTTCACCTTCATTGGATTGTTCTGTCTACATGAATAATCTTCTATTAACTTGCACACGTTGCTTATGCTAATTGCGCTTATCGTTTATTGCCTTTGTAGCATTTCCGAACAACTTGTGGGCATTTTCAACTTATCGCGGATTCGTTGCTAACCCACTTACTTCACGTGCTAATTAAAGGAAGAGTTATGTCTGCATAGCCGCATTCTTTAACAGCTATATCTTATTTGATAATATCAGTTCAAGTGATTGGCTGTTGCTTGACATCCCCGGTGTGACTGCGCTTGATGTGCATGTTGACAAGGTGCCTACCTGTCTATTACCCACTACATCGTTCATACTGGCTCCAGGAGACAGTTGGTCGTTGCTGGAGGGGACGGGGTGCACGGTTCTTGTGGCGGTGCTATGCTCGAAGAGTGGTTGCATGCACTCAGTGTGGAGTGGACTACGGTCCAGCCACCGCCTTGGGTGCGCTTGATTCCCCAAATACAGCGTGCTTGTGTTTGCCTGTGAAGGAGTGTGGACCGGATCCGTTGGTGAAACGTGGTTCACATCCGCATGCCTCCCGGTCTTATTCCTTCGGGTTTACACTGGACATGGGGTGTGTGGGTGGTGCAGCGCAAGTCACCCATGGTCCCACTGTAGGCACAGGCACCCTGTGGATGTCCACAGTGACAGGCGAATCCGAAACCGGATGCCGCCAACCATAAGCCGATCCGTACATCAGCCGACAGTATAACTTTGCAACGTCAAATTTGTTCAAAATCGTAAGTTCGTATATTAGCCGACTCCCAAAAAATCAGCAAAAAGAGAAACGAAATTGTTTATCACGATTTTAAATTCTTCAATACCTGCTCTCACTTGAGTGTGCTCAAGCGAAAGCTGCTCTGCTATTGGTCAGTTCTTGCGACCTATAGTGTTATGATGGCAGTTGCTGGAGCTTAGAGCCGTCAGAACAAAGCTTTAACACTACTGATGACGATATTCACCCTGAGGTGCCAATGACAGACGACCAGCACCAGAAACTGTTTGGAGATTCTGACTCGGATTCTAGTTTCGAAGCCTTTGAGTAATTTTAATACCATTAAGCAGTGTTTAAATATGTGAGCCTATAAAATCTGCCTGTACATGCTGTTCTATCATGTGTTTTTCAATGTTACTCTGTGTTATTTTGGTTGATTCTGGATAGTCGATATGTTTCTGTTACTTCCATCGGTCGCGAAAACCAAAGTGCAATATACCGAGAATTTTCTACACAAAGACAATGTGTCTATCTGTAGGCACTTCAAATCCCCGCCTGGGATACCGTGTGTCAATAGCGAGTGGCGCTAAGGTAAGGAGGGGGTCTAGGTGTCTAGTGAATTTCTGGGTGGATTGTACATGGGATTTTTCCAATTTTGCATAACATTAGTATAACCTGACCTCCCCACTACAGACGTGAAACGTGTCCAAAATTCCTCGGCTTATACACGGTAATATACGGTACTCACCTAAGTGATTTTCAATAATTACGTAGGCCAAGCATACTCAGACACGGAAATGACTTGGAATGCGGTACCAGTGTTTCATTTGGGTAGTGTCTTTGACCAAACTATCGTTTCATGCCTAAGAAAGATGACTGCTCAAATTACTATTCACTTGAAATATTCGCGCGATGAGCAGGCAGACGCTGATTCAGTGAAGCTTCCCCCAAATGTATGCCAACAAGCCAAAAATGGGTGGTAAATGGACGGTTTAGGGTTGTCGCGGCTTGGCATAAATTACGCGTAAACTTAGCATATTGTAGAAAGAAGTTATTTGGCACGAACCCTGGCAACCGAAGTTCGTGCGGGGCTTAGTGAAATAAAAGTTATAATCTAGTATGTCTAATGGTATCTGACAAAAAACTGATTTACTGCGACTAGTAGTAGAGTGTAGAGGCCTAGTAGTTTTTTATTATATGAGGCTATCATTTTCCTTGTCCCTGTCTTGATTTTCGGAGGGATGCACAAACGTGTTGTTGATAGTTCAACTGATCTTGGATGGCCCCCTCGTTCGAACTCTCCGTAGTGATTTTAAACCATCATTCTTACTATGCCTAGTTAATAATGCAAGTGCAAGTAGTTTAAGTTCAACCTAAAAACTCGCAAGGTGAAGAACCAACTCCGTCTAGCCGCAGTTTCTAATAAGAGTTTAGCACCTCACGATTACTGCTTTGCCGTGTGTAGCACCGAGTAGCTCCTCAGACATAATGTATCAGCACTATCGCTACATCACTTAAAAGGCTGAAGTGCATTCTGTTCAACAATTTATTATCAAAGCTTAACTTAACCATGCACAATGCATTGTTGCAGCGTTCATATGCCTCAAAACTTTTCTACTTTTTTAGGAAGTCCCGTCGCAGACAGACTGGGTCAGACGGCCACCATGCATTCGGCAATGCACTGAATGACCGTTTGGTTCTATCTAGACCAGTCAGCGACCAACTACCGCAGGAGGCTGCTGCATCTATGCCTTTGACTTCACTCTTGCGAGATGGTGAATTAAGCCGCTGCGTCACGGATGAGAGTGACGTAGCGTTACTCAGCTCCATTATCACACATACTATGAGTGTGCAGTGGGTAGGGTCGGTTCCCACAGCTGGAACATCCCCCTGCATGCCTGTTTCCCTTAGTATTTTTAGTAGCGGAACACTCATGACAGGCGTCTAACATTTGAGCTCGCCACTTAGTTTCTTGAGGAGTCATTGTCGCAGTGTATTAACAAACCTGGAAAGTGGCAGCTAAGATCTCTTCAGGCTGGAAAATGATGACGGTGATTTCTGTGCAGTGTGTCACCACAGGCCTAAAAAACAGCAGCGCATCTCTTAAACGTCTCTATTGAGGTAATCTTTATTACTCCCTAAAATTCCCATTCATTCCTAAATGGAAGGTTATTGTATAACTCGGGTACCACGATGAATCACCAGTTAGCCAGGGCCTTATGGAGAGTGCCCGAATAGATTGCTTCAACGTATTTGTGTAAAGCATACGGATACGTCGAGATTCATTTAACCAGCAATCGATTCATCCATGATTTCGAAATAGTATTTAGTTCTCTTTTTCGTCCAAGTGTAATCAGAATGCTCTAGTTAAAAATGTGCAGCGAAATAGGCTCTTCCTTGCTGGCCTAGCTTGACGCATGGCCCCATGTGAGCTTGCTGACACGTTTCACGGATGGAAATGTATACGGTTTACCCGTATTTTGGGACCGATTCTAACATTTTGGAAACATTAGCAGTTTCTAATTGAAGTACTTATACCGAAGTAAGGGTCAATGGAGGAGATCAAGGACTTGTGTATTCGGAACGATCGTGCTGCTGATATTATGCCAGCAATTGTTATAGCTGTGTGGTGGACTCAGAAGACCGGTATATCGCGACCATTGTTGTTATTCGAGGCGAACTCTTAGCCAGTCGATTTCAAACAATCAGGCGACCGCCAGTAAAATAAGGCACAGGTGTCAGCGTGCGATTTAGAAGGACCATTGCGGGTGTTGTATGGGGTACAGCGCTTGTTCTGATCTAAAAAATTTTAACGGAAAATATGTGGTGACCGTGAATCGTATGAAATACATGATCAGTAAAAGGGGCGAATACCTGTGAAGTGCAGTATACGCTGAAGTGCCTATTGTATGAATGGACCGCGATGCGCAAATCAAAAGAGGACTATTATTTATTTTGAGGGGAGTTTTGACCAATTCTGCCTATGGAGCCAGATCTGAAACAGTAGATTGCTAGATTTTCGCCACTCGCAATCATGCACTTCACCACAGGCTTTGTACTTATGAACGCCCGTCAGGTAGCGGGACTGCGAATCGAACCCGGCCCCTTAGGGATGATTGCAGAAAGATCAACACCTAAACCACCCAGCTAAGACGGGCAAAACTAGGCACAACGGCTAATGACTAATTGTGGGTTACTTCGATTGGCGCAAATAATTGCGAAACCGGTTGTGGAGTGTGGTATTACGAAAGGGGTAGCACCTGGTGTTCATCAGGTTTAGATGAGATCCCAGTGATCGAATCGACTGAAACTCAACTGAAAGTGAATCACAGTTCCACCTGACATTGCGTGTCGCAATCCATTCACACAATAAGTGGTTCAAAATAACTCACACTCAGTCACTAGTCATTGCATTAAGCTTCGACCGCTGAAACGGGGTGCTTTAGGGTTCTATGTTGCAGCTAACTTCCCAGAAGTCTCCGATTCTAGTCGCAACTCTGCTGTCTATGCGTGAAAAACGAACAATGCCTTTATACGGGTTAAGAAGCACTACTTTACAAGCCCATTGGCTGGTCTTGTGGATTATCGAAAATGGTTAATGAAAAATAACAGTGTAGTTCTATTTTACAAAGAATGAACTTATCGTACGGACTGCAGTTGCCCTGCACTCCGAGTGTTTCCACAGCTTCAAAGGCGAACATATAAAGCCGAGGTATTTATCGAGAGTAGGAGAGTAGTGTCAAGTACCAAAACTTAAATGGCGGGGTGTGTCATCCAACCAACTTTCAAATATGGCTAGCATAGGTGCGCGGAAAATCAATTTGGGGAGAGCGTTCCATGGTTGACACCGCGCATGATTGACCAGTGTAGTTAACTACGAATACGTTCGTACGCGACATCTAATAATCATGTATAACACGAATCCACTACTTTCAGATGGTCAACACTAAATATTCATTCATTTCACTATTTAGTCCACTCGGCTTGGAAGTAAAAGTGGCAGTTATTACTCCTGGGCAGATCTAGGTCACGAGTGTCAAACACTTGCGTAGGAACCAGTTAGGTGAAAGATCGAAACGTGCACAGTTACCTCAATTTGAATGGGGCGTTTGGAGCAAGCCAGCGAGAAATCACAGCAAGGCCAATTGCACTGGAATCCACCGATTTCAAAGATCGCGGAGCTGCTCAAATAATGATCACGGACTAGATGATGAACCAGATCTTCAGGCGAGATAAAGCCCAGTTCGCATCTTGGCACCTGCAAGGGAGATTAATTAGGGCCAGTTATCGCGTTTGCCCACAGAACACTGCAGCGCTCAACGCCTTGAGGTTAGGATCACGGTTAGCCCTCATCTAGAGTTACACCTGTCTTCATTCCTCATAGATTTTTTATTAACGTCAGTCACTAGTTCCGATGGTGAATGCTATGCTTTGAGCCACGAATGCTCTAAATGAGAACCACCAGACAGAATGCAGTCGGTCTCTGATTAACGAGTCAAAGTCAGTTCCACCAGTTCTTATCCCGTCGAAACCACTAGGATGACTAATCTGAGAGAGGGAGTGCTGAGTTTCAGGCGACTGCTTGACACGATAACTAAATGCTTGAGTACAATGATGTGATAAAACAATAAACCGTAACAAATGGAACGGAAGTGTTAAATGTTCCCTGCAAAGTCGACCGTGCAGCGGCTGAAAAGTACACTGACTGGTGAACTGATATCTAATGGTAGCAGTACACAATGGATGCTACTATAATGTCACCCACTACATTTGCCAGCCTATGTGTAAACTAGTAATAGCATGAACGAACTTGGTGATTTCGAGTAACAGTAATGATGATGGCGAACAGCTGAATGACTTATAAATGATCATTTTCGCCATCGGTCCCCATGGGATTGTCGGGAGTCGGTTAAATGGAACAGTAGACACATCATTTGCTTTCTTAGGATTTTCAAGTAGCGCGCCTGTGAATGTCTAAAGTACATTGCACGACCCACCTTTGATGTCCCATACTCATAAAAAGCAAACTACTACTTCTATTAAAATGCTGTAACTAAAACAGTGCAAAATCCAATCACTTAAGGTGGACTATGTAATGCTTGAAATAAGCCGTCCAGTAGTGAGAATGTGCCGGAAAGCGGGCGAATTAGAGTCCACAGTCCTGCTACCTAGCATGCGCTTTAGTAGTAAACTTAGATGTCAATTATTTTGTCACTAATCTCCAAATCTTCAAATGAAGCCACTTATAAAGCCGGAAAAAGGCATCCAGACTTGACGGAGTTAACAAGGAACTGGTCAGCACTGTTAATCAAGACTTGGTAACCACGAAACTCTAGGGAGTTACATATATACACCTACCTCGCAGATGTGGTATAACTTGGGCAAGCATATCATATGAATTTCACCTTTATCAGTTCCAACAGCAATCTGCAAATAAAGATCAGCAATGGAATGAACACAGCGTATAATCTATTGAATCTATTGTACCATGATACTCTGAAATGCACCCATAAAATGACGTGGTGAAAAGGATTACAAAGGGGTTTGTGAACAACCGGTTGGTATCGTTTATGGGCAGCTTGTCGGTTTTGACACAATAGCTTCGTTAGGCCAAGTGAATAAGTGGATAACTGGTGAGGCACTTACAGAAAACTGGGAAGCTGATCGCGACAACCGGGATGTACGTAGAATCTTCGCTGCATAACAGGTAATAATGTGATTCCAGGTGGTACATGGAACGGTCACAAGTGGCCCACGTTACAAGGTCATCCATGCAATCCGCTGTCGGTGATGGATGTGGGGATGATTCGATATTAATTATCTGCCTTATGTATCCATTCAATCTATTGTAGATGGTATGGGTTCTCCAACGCACGAAATAGACAGATACTTGAGTAACCTCTTGAAACCATTGTCAGGTCAAATGAACACGTTTGTAAAGAGATCTTCTGGGTTCGCGCTAAAGGTGTCGGATCTTGAGATCGAGGCAGGTAAAGTGGAGGCCAGTTTAGACATTAACTCATCGTCAACCAACGACACAATATACGACGCGCTGGAATTATCGAAACAAACCTTACCTGGGGAAGATAATTCGGAAGAGAGATCGAAGCTTACGACAGATCAAATAATGGACCGAATGATACTGAGCCTTAACATCTCTTATTTCACGTTTCAATCGTTATTCACTCAGAACCAGGCTTTGCCATGGGATCATCAATGTTCCATGTATGGGCAAAATTATTCATACAACTTTTGAAAGGAGAAAGCCAACTAACTCAAGCAGCATACCGAAAATTTGGTGGTATTACATGAATAACACATTTTTGCTCATGAAACGGGTTAAGAAAGATGAGGTTCTAAACTACTTGAAGACTCATGCTGGAACTAAGAATTTCGCTACAGAATTGAAACTTTGTAGTGGCGTGTTGCCCTTCCTTCACTACTCCGTTCACGGGAATAGGGGTAGTCTGAAAACAAGGATATTTCGTAGGCTAACGGACACAAACTGGGTATTCCACTGCAGCTTAAATCGCCCAAAGCATGTATAGACTAGGATCATTTATCTCTGTTTCACAGAGCATAGACCTTGTGCACAGAGGAATAAAATAAGAAGGCCGATCAAAAAGAAGCAATGAACTAGTTACTTGATAGTGGATACTTTATGTGGTTACTGATACGCCATTTGTAGACGATTCTTTATCCACATCCATGGCTTGCTACTTGGTGGATAGAGACGGCAGGATGCCTTATAAAGAGGGAATTTCAGAGGCCATTCGGAGGGCCCTAAAAATGAAAACATAAGGGCAATTTTCCAGAAAGGACAAAACCCTCCGCTCGACACTGGTGTACTTGAAGGACCTGCTTCCCGCAGATACGACAACTGCATACGTCTGTCGGGTTGGTTGCAAATACTGCATACGCGTCTACATAGGCCAAGACGCAAGAGCGTTGCACACGGTGCAGCCAATCGCAGCAGTCGCATAGCACGTCCACAGAGCAACGAGGATAAATACGCGGCGCTCCTATGGACGCCTGCGCCTACGGAGGGACAATGGGTGGCTTGCGCTGCACCACCCACACACCCCATGTCCGGTGTAAACCCGAGGGAATAAGACCGGGAGACATGTGGATAGGAGCCAGGTTCAATCAACGAAGCTGGCCCACACTTCTTCACAGGCGAACACAAGCACGCTGTATTTGAGAAGCAAGTGTACACAAGGCGGTGCCTGAACCGCAGTCCGCTCTACACTGAGTGCATGGAACCACACTTCGAGCCTAACACGGCGTCGAGGACCGTGCATCCAGTCCCCCACCAAGCAACGATTCACAGTCTCCTGGAATCAAGATGTAGGAGATGGTGGGTAACAGACAGGTAGACATCTGGTCAACACGCACAACAAGCGCAGCCACACCGGGGATGTCAAACAACAGCCAATCACTCGAGATAAGAATAACAAATAATGTATATAGAATAAAGCATACGGAAAGGCAAAATGGTCATTTGCAATAAATTGGTTAGCAACAAATCCGCGATAAGTGCATGATGTCAGAATCCATAGTATTTTTACAAAACCACAGACGCGAAAATGTTAGCGAACTTAACCACATTTAGCTTAAGCTACATGTGCGAGCTCAGGTAAACGTTAAGATGAGGTAAAATAGATATGTATTGAGACACGATGGCAAACCCACCACCTGAAAAAGAAACTAAACACGCAAGCATGCGGTTAGTAAATCGAACGCAGCCTACCTACTAACGCTGCGCCGGTTCTGCCTACGTTCTCAGCAGGACACGTCGTCAGTTCGAAGCTGGTCCTGAGTGTCCTCGCTCGTGGCTCACTAGGCCAGCCTGACTCAGGCACTCGTAACCGCGTGTGCTACACCACCATGCGCTCGATGTCGATGGAGTACACCCTATCGGTGCCTGTCGCTTCCGCACTTGCAGCTTCTTTTCTGCGTGCACGAGGGCTTTCTCTTGCACCTCGGCAACGACCTGTGTAATCAAATCAGGCCATGCACACCGATCAACCGCTTTCGATTCCCATGACCTGCAATCAAGGTTAGAAGGTGAGAGGCTCATGTTGATCATGTCCTGGTTACGAAGCTTCGGTTTCACCACCTGCCGCTTCCCAACACAGTTGACCATATAAAAGCTGCTTTGGTATCCGCATTGAATCCCTAAGCCACACGTGACCGTCACGATAAATACATGTCATGAAATCGACAGTGAGAATGTCAAGATCGTTACGGAGCAGCGAGCAACAGCCCAAAGGCTGACTGCTGAGGCGGTGGAGAACAACAAATACGACAGCCGTGTGAACCGAATGGAAGTGCCAGAAGGTTGGTACGGGATGATTGCCGTCTTAACCAAGCCAGTCTGATGAGAATCAGCAAGCGAATCCTAACAGAGGATGATTATCGAATCATCCCCACATCCATCACCGACAGCGGATTGCATGGATGACCTTGTAACGTGGGTCACTTGCGACCGTTCCATGTACCACCTGGAATCACATTATTACCTGTTACGTAGCGAAGATTCTACCTACATCCCGGTTGTCGCGATCAGTTTCCCAGTTTGCTGTAAGTGCCTCACCAGTTATCCACTGGTTCACTTGGCCTGACGATGCTATTGTGTTACAACCGACATGTTGCCCACAAACGACACCAACCGGTTGTTTTTAAACCCATAAAAAATCAGGCGATCTCTGTCCATTCCAAACCGTTTTCAGGATGTCGAATACTGGAAATGACATTAGTGTTGCTCAGGACAAACATGCATAGAGAAATTGCAGTGTCACAAAGCAGAATTTAACCCATGTACTTGTTTCTATGGCGCTTTTCATGACGCTGTACCTGTGTATTTAACTGTGCATGAAAACCCCTAAAATCTGAAACCAAACGTTTAAGAAAGGTGATCAAATTAAAAAAGGTCATGTATTTTATTCTTTCCTGGTAAATAAAATTATACATTCAGCACCCATTAATACATCTTTATTTTTGTTCACCAGTAGCAGTGTTTGTAGTACTGAATGCCTGGACAACAGTAGCCATTGCCAGTATGCAGACAACGTCGCCATAATCTGTGATTCCTCACAGACCGCCCAAAATGTTCCGTTATAGGTTGGATGTTTCTGTCTCCCAGTTTGGAATGACCGCACCATTGAAATGCGAGGTCTACTTGCAGAACTGGCTACGCGCAGATTCTACCCTTACCGTTCTAGTTCGTTTATGGAAGTGGTGGACAAGTTTGTTTACCTCGGAAGCTGCCTCAGCTCTAATGGTTTAACAGATGAAGTCTCTTTGTGCGTCTCCAAATCTCGGGTTGATTTTGTCAAACTCCGCCATTTCTGAGGTTGAGGCGATCTGAGTCTATCTCTGAAGGGTAGAGTTTACAACGCCACAGTGAGAGCGGCTCTGCTCTGTGGCTGCGAAACGGCCTGTTCGCGCAAAGGATGTCGAGAGGCTGTCTGTGTATGATCATCGTTGCCTTTGGAGCATTGCTAGTGTATCCTAGTAACATCACACAAGTAATGAAAATGTTTGATGGAGGATTTTCAAACCAGACAGATTTTGCCGGCTGTTGAGCAGCATAATTTCTCTGCGCACACTTTATTGGCTTGGGAGTGTTCATCGCAAGCCTACTCATCGCATAACTCTTCGTGCACTCTTCGCGCGCACAAACGTCGGCTGGAAACGAAAGCAAAATGGCCAACGTATGACTTGGGACAGGAGCATGAAGGAGCTAACGTCAAAGTGAACCGTGGTCAGGTCCTTCACTCCCTGGATAGGGTGTAAAAGGATCAGGAAAACGCATGGCTGGAAAGACTTTCGAACATGGCAACAAACCGTACGCAATGGCGGATTTGTTGTGACTATTTCTATGAACGCCGCATTTTTCCTTTCGCTTCCTATGTTTATTGTATTTTCAATAAGCTGTGGGACAATACCAGTTGTGCTATATATATATATATATATATATATATATATATATATATATATAGCACAACTGGTATTGTCCCACAGCTTATTGAAAATACAATAAACATAGGAAGCGAAAGGAAAAATGCGGCGTTCATAGAAATAGTCACAACAAATCCGCCATTGCGTACGGTTTGTTGCCATGTTCGAAAGTCTTTCCAGCCATGCGTTTTCCTGATCCTTTTACACCCTATCCAGGGAGTGAAGGACCTGACCACGGTTCACTTTGACGTTAGCTCCTTCATGCTCCTGTCCCAAGTCATACGTTGGCCATTTTGCTTTCGTTTCCAGCCGATATATATATAAGTTTTCTCTTGCACCTCGGCAACGGCCTTCGTGATCAGATAGCGTTATGCACGCCGATCAATCGCTTTCGATTCCTGTGACCTACAATCAAGAGTAGAACGTGATAGACTGCTTTGACAATGCCCAGGTAATGAAGCTTAGGTTTCCCCACATGCCGCTTCCCCACACAGCTCACCATATCAAAGCTGCTTCGGTATCCGCGTCGAATCCACACGCCACACATGACCGAGCCACCGCTAGTGTCTCAGCAACAGGATAAAGTCCACTGCATACATTCCACTTCGACGCAGCACCGTGTCTGTAACTCTGCCGCAGCAACCGATGTGCAGGGTAACAAGTGAAGCACAAGAGTGGACAGCGGTAACGGCATAACGAACAAAAATTACCTGAGGTTGTCTTATTAAGTGGTGCAGTGGCCCCAATCTGGAGCATTCGTTGCAAGACTAATCATGCCGACTGTGTTTAGACGATGTCCTTACGATAACTGCTGGAGCCCATTGAACGATTAGTGATAATTCATTATGAACCAAAACATAACCAACAGAAGTCATAGGGTGGAGAAGCTACACTCAACTCCTTCAGTGAATTCAATAAATAGGAAATACTTGACAAGTGTTGAAAAATTGCACCTAATGGTTTCATTTAAAAAGTGAGTTTCTGTCTCTGTCAATGGAATAGAAGTGAGGTCCAGAAGAAGTGAACGGTCCTGATACGTAAAGTTTAAAACGCAATGGGGAAGGCGCAAACTCACAATATCCTGTTCGCTGCTTTCTGATGCGATGGAAGTAACTTTTGAATCACAAGGAGTAATATAAAGCAACATCATAAACGCACGATTGCTTGCATCACGACGACGTTGACTTTCGAAAGCTGTAATTTCCAAAATGCGGCCGAATTTGGCAGCAACCCACAAACGTTCGTTTTGCGGTGTGGAGGAGATGGAAGCGGGATACGAATGACCCCACATTTGGGAAAGGTAATTCACTGGTTGAGCACAAGACGGGAACTTCAAAGTTGAAACGATGTCGAGGGACTAAAATAGAATGTCAACCGGAAACTTGTGGTTATTGCTGGTTGCTACTGCTCAATGGCGAGTAGTGTCATGAGACCCAGTATTTCCACACCAAATTACTACTCAATCAGACATCAACAGCATCATTTCCAGACTTAATGCGTCGGCACGATGAGCACCGTGGATTTCAAATGTCACGAAGGTGGAGTAGTAGGGATGACAGTTTACCTCCGTAATTACATGGTAGAGACACTGCCCCCCCAAACTCTGCACCGGAAACGGACCACCACCTGTAGCTCGGAGAACAGGACAATCCTCTAGTGGAGCACCACGTTGCGACAGCATTAAGATGCAGTCTAAAGCGAAAGCATACTCACCTCCTTATCATGGGTGATTTCAAAGTACACTGTTTTAGAAACCTCTGCTATAATCGAAGAAACATTCAAAACAGATCTGTAAGAGCTCATAACAAGCGTCCCACTTTACGATCAGGTCATTACGCCCACTCGTTTCAGAACAGGTAATAAACCATTTTGCTGCATCTTACGAGGAAAATGTGGCTTATGTATTGATTGTAAAATACCCTTTGGGTCGCAATGGTCATGCAGTCCTTATTTTCGATTTCATCTGCTAAGTGGAATATCGCCACCAGAACAATGAGATGGAGCGCACCATTACGCGCTAGGACAGCTTATCCCAGCTCGTCAGTGCCACAACCTGTCGTTCCTTGCTGCAGGCCATCGGGAAGTCGCTCGGCTAGAATCCGTCAGTAAATTCAATCAACTAGTTACGGAGGCCTGAGAGACTAAGGTTTTCAATGGGCTTAAAACCGGTTCTTTCGTGAGATTACTTGTGGATTTTGTGAGTAGTGTAATTTTCGTAGAGAAGTCACGGCTAAACTTCGCACAATAATCTGCCTCGACGGGGAATCGAACCCCGGACCCACGGATTACTGGTCCACTGCTCTACCACTGAGCTACCGATGGCTGACGATCGAGTGCGCAATTTAATACGTGCCTTCTGCTTGGTTCGCGACGTATTGCGAATGAGCTCACAGTGTCTGTTCTGGTGTTGCAGACTGGCTCGGTCACCCGTCACTTTCGTGAGAAGCAGAACTAGAAATAGATGAATGTACGCAATGTAGCTTGGAGAGAGTACAGATCTGCACCGAGGTCAGATACTTGGGATAACTACATAGCTCATCGTAACCACTGCAGTCAACTGCTCAGAGGACAAAGCCGCATATCAGCAGAATATGGTGAAAACTTGCAGCGCTAACTACAAACTGTTGTACAACTATGTCAATGGTCGTCATAGGGTAAGGCAGTGAATTCCTCTGCTCCGAATGATTGATGGTCCAACTGGAACAGCGTTAGAAGCAGCAGACGCGTTGCAGACGAAACATCCTACCCTATTTCACAGGGTCTTACCATCAGGCTATCTTCCAACATTCGCTTTCACGCCTCCAGGACTCCCACACCTCTTTTTACTGCCGAATGTGTATTGCATAAGCTCACGTCTCTGCTCAACCACAGCTCCACGGGAGGGGACACCATTCGCCTAGAGGTACTAGGAACACAAACAAGACGCGTAGCTAAACTTTCGGCCCAGTTGGAAATGTTTCGCTGTTGCTCCTTCTAACGCTGGCTCACCACGACTGCGGTTTGGTCCTGGTTTGGATTGATAAGGTGGGGATATCCTGAACTGGGGTGGAACGCACAGCCTAGTATTTCACGGCTGACGTCCAGGACACTATGCTACTGAGATCCGCGAGCAACGCTTGGCACAGCGGAAAGGAATTTAAAGTTGTAATTGTGGTAAGTGCTGATGAGTCCAAACCAGGACGAAACCGCGGTCGTGGTGTGCCGGTGTTGGGAGTAGCAACACCCAAACATTTCCATTTCGGTTACAGTCCTTGCAATCGGAATGACCGAGGTCCACCTCAAAGTGAACCGAGGTCTCAATAGAGGTTACGTGCCGCAACCCAACCACACACCGGGTTCCTCAAATTCAACTTTAGCCCAGTTTTTTCGACGCCGTTTAGACCAGAACCAGCTTCTTGCGATGTGGAGTCTTGGGATAATAACCTATTCACAAAGGCAGTAGCAGGACTGAGCCTTCAAACTACCGTCAAGCGTCTCTTCTCCCTGCATTGTCCAAGGTCATGGAATCCATCGCTGGTGTGTTATCTAGAAAATTGTGTCATTTTTGCTCCCGAGAAATACGGCTTTCGTCGACAGCGATCGTGCATAACGAATTTATTAATCACCCGGATTAGGTGAACCATGTCAGCTGACGCGAGAGAAGCCCTTGCTGATATCTACTTGAATTTTTCAGAGGTATGCGATCGTTTAGATCAACGGATTCTCCTGTTCAAGCTCCAATATCAAGGTACCGGTGACCTTCTCTCGAGCTGGATCATAAACTTTCTGCTGCAAGGATAATTAGTGGTCAGATCCTGGAGTTCCTTATCTGAACCTATACCAGTCGAGTCTGGTGTGCAGTGACGCTCCGTTCTAGGTTCACGTTTGTTTTTGGTGTTCATTAATGACTTTGTACAGGGAATGGCTTCAAATTTCCTGCTGTTTGCTGACGATATCAAGATATGAACCGGATTCAGGCGACTGCCGGTCATAATTCACTTCAGTGTGACCTAGACATGCTACAGGAGTGGTCAACCCGAAATCTGCTGCAGTTCAACGTGGACACATGCAAGGTACTTCACATATGACACCAGAGTACCTATTCATACAGGCTAGGAAAGTAACTACTGCAGCGATCATTCATGGAACGCGACCTTGTCGTGCTTGTTCAGGATAACTTGGGTTGTTCTAAGCAACCCGCAAAGGCATGGAAAAGTTGCAACTGGCACGTTGGCATGCTACGACGGGCGTTCGGACAAATAGACATTTCTATTTTCAGACAGAAACAGGATGGGTATTTTCGCCACCATATAGAATACGCAATCTAAGCCTAGCAGCTATGGCTGTAGCCCGACTTTACTGTACTGGATCAACCTCAATGTCAGGTTTTTAAATACGTCATTGAAATGCGCCACCTTCCATACTGGCAGTGGCTGAAACGTTTGGGAGTATTCAGCGGGCGGTATCACCGACTACAATGCGACTTTATTATGGCATATTTGTTTATCCACAATCCAAATCATGTGTGCCGCTCTGTACCGTAACTCAGCTGTAACCCCTGGTTCAGTGGTCACTCCTTGCACTTTGCAGAGATGTACAGCCATCTTGCGTGCCGTAGAAATTGCTTTTCCGTTCGCATGTGCCAACCATGGAGTGCTCTCCCCGAATCGGTTGATCTGCACTCATGTTAGCCATCTTTAAAAGTCGGTTGGATGACGCACACTCCGCCACTTACATTTGGTACTTGCCACTATTCCCGTGAAATACCCTGGATCTATTTTGTTCGCCTATTGAAGTTAAGGAAACACTCGGAGTGCAGGGCTACTGTGTAACGTACGATAAGTTCATTCTTTTGACACTCCAACTACTAACCGCGTTTTTTCAGTAACCTTTTCGATAACCCACTAGTTTCTCGATGCGTACGAGAAAATGATACTCTCTATCTGCACATACCGTCATTACTAGATTTATAGTGCTTTTGCTGTTTACTCTTCGCACACATGAACCCAAATTATTGCCACCTCACTGACCACTTTGTTCCCCAGTGGTACATTTTTCATTCTTGCAAATGGTACAACTTTCAGCCCCTGCCGATTACATATATAGCAACGTGTCTGTTGCAAAACATAATCGTTTGTAAATTTGGATCATGCCTGATTTGGCGTGCCTCGATGAATTCGAGTATAAACCATTTATTTATTCATTTATAGAATACCCATCGGGGCTAGTAAGGGAATGCTTCTTAACCCGTATAAAATTATTGTTCATTGTTTCAGTCAGTTCGCATCGCTGCATTGGTAAGCAAGCCATTGCCTCGGGAAACGATTTGTAGTTCCGCTATCTCTGGCCGTGGAGTGCAACCACGCACACAAAAGTGCAGGTGGTGAGTACAGTGCTGCGAGCGGGGAGCAACGGACACTCACCAGTTTCGGACACGCGTGCGATAACCTAACTAGTCAAGATGTACTTCAGAATGGATCGCGGTCGAGCGTGAGATTGTATCGCAATCCATCCACATAACAGGCACTTCAGTGTGTGATGTGTCTGGAGTAAAAGGTGCGACCGAAACGCGTAATTCGGACGGGAAAGCACCAAACACGGATCACTCCAATAGCCAAAACATGGTGTCCATGCAGTGGCCACCTACATATGTGTAATAGAAGAAGAAACAAATTCCAGAGGAGAGAGCTGTGACTGCACAGGACAGCACACAATCAGTTAATGCCAAAAGAACTAATATCTGTTGTACCTTATGGATGCTAGTAGTTTCAGTGAACTAGCCTCCGCACTGCCTGGGTACCCACAGACAAAATCACAAGGAACTGTCCCGTGAGATCAAGCAGATCTGCGAGAAGATAGTCCCTATCATATGAACCGGATCGATCATGGTACCAACACACAAAAAGGGAAGTTGCGACGTTTGTGCAGACCTACAGCTAACGACATGAAACCGGCGGTGACCAAGCTACTTGTCTCCATTCTTGTTCGTCATCTTGCTCCTAACGGAGAAAAACAGACGTATAACTGAACCAGGACAATATTTTTACCGTAGAAGGGTATTACAACATTAAAATGTACCACAGATTGGCCATTGTTCCTCGGAACGTAAAATGGTGTTCAACCTAGTGAATCTCCCCGATCTGTTCTACACACGCCGCGAAAAATGCATCTATAAAATCTGTGAACAAATGCTGAGTCATGCAGTAGAGAGCACCTATAGGATGTGAGTCCACAGTGATTTGCTGATATTTCTGCCAACAACAAGTAACGTTTACTGAGGTTATCACACTGGCTCTTTCCATCAATTTTTATTGAAAATCACATCATGGAATGCTCCTTCTATTCTTTGAAGCATATACTTGACTCCGGTTTCGATGG